GGTCAAATCAAGTAAATCTATAAATATATATTGAATCTTGAAAATAGACGGTCTAGATAATGTGTTGTAAGATACACTATTTGTGGGATTCATAATCTTTTCTTTTTTTTTCATGTTCACACATCTCGATGTCGAGATGATGTATTAGAAGATTTTCAACATTCAAACAATCTTCTCCGATGGATTTTTTAGGCGTATATGTAATTCTATATTTCAAAGTTGCAACTCTATATAAACTTTTTTCATTATTAAAAGGGAAAAGTGTATATAAGGTTGCAACCATAAAATGTAGAACTAAGGATGCACGTCAAAAATCCAATGGAAAATGTTGTTTTAATATTGGAAAACTCTCTAATTGATCATCGTTATGCTGAGATGTATGACTATGAAAAAAGAAAGGATTTTGAGTCCCAAATATGATGCGTCACAAAACATTATCTAGACCGTTCATTTTCAAGAGTTTCATATGTTTATAGATCTACTTGATTTTAATCATTTTTGGAGTTTAAAATTTTATAATTAGATATGAAAATAAATTTTTAGATAATCTTAAGAATATTTTTACATCAAAATTGTACGCTATGATAAAATTTGGAGGTGCGCCTTAAATGGATTGTTTAAGGTTGCAACCTTATGGAAACCACACCCTTATTAAAAACGGTGCACATCCACTAGATCTATAAAGTTTTAAAAATCTAAAAATTTAAAAATTTTGAAAGTAGGTTAAACTTTTAAACATTTAAATTTTTAAATATTTAAAGGAGATATATAAACATTTAAATTTTTTGGAAGTAGAGTAGACACTCTAAAAAACTTGTTAGAGGATGAAATAGTTTTAGGACCTCAAAGGAAAAATCAAATCAGAATAATTAACTCGGACATGGACATGGGGTTGGAAGCGGTTCAACCGGCCTAACCGGTGAACCGGTTGGTTCAATTGGCCTAACAAAATAAGTCCCAAGCGGTAAAAAAAAATGTAAAATAAATTTAAAAAAATATGAAAAAATATATTTAAAGTAAGATTAAACAAAGCACATCCAAATACATAGATTTTAAAGAATCAATTTGTGCCCAAAGACATTTTCAATTTTTTTAAAAAAGATAAAAAAATGTAAAAATAAGTATTAATGGCCAGAACGAATTTTCAATCTTTACCAAAATGATGAAAACATTAAAAACTGCATTACAAACAAAATCCCTTATTTTGTAGGATTTATATATATGTTTGAATTTTTTAAAACGCCCAGCCGGTTCACCAAAACAGATCAAAACTGAAACCAACCAATTCTAATCGAGTTTAACCTGGCAGTTAGAATTTGAACCGCCGGATTTTTCCTACACTATGTGCATCTTACTTCTATAATGTCAAGGTACAACTAGAGGTGGCAACGAGTCGGGTTCGGCTGAACCTGGACCTGAACAGTATTTGGGTCCAAGATTTGGACCAGTACCCATATTCATTAAGTCTTGGGTCTGTCGGATCCATTGCCGCCCGATGACTATGAGTTTTTTTTTTTTACGATCATGTACCCTATGACTGTGAGCTTCTTATTTCTTTTTTTAACAATAATACGGTAAATGCTATCAATGTTCTGATAATATGAACACTTAGCACGTGCCTAAAGACATGTGATTGCCATCATATAACCTTTAACTACAGGTCCGTTGGAACAGGGCCTGAACCTGATTAGTATTCGGATCCAAAATTTGAACCCATACCCATTCCCAAAGTCAGTTATACCCGTCGGGTCTTGGGTCTAGTCATGTCCATTGCCACCGCTAATTACAACCTTACAGAAGCCTTTTCGTTCTTTTTTTACTGTACTTGATAATCCCCTAGAATTCAGTTGCACATGCATGTAGTATCCATGGGAGCACATTGTAAATAAGGTTTTTCTGATGATAAGTTTTAGATCTAACCAAGCATTATCTCAATTAAGAGATACAATTTTTAACAAAACATAGATTTAGTTTTAAAATACTTAGATATGATCAATCACGCTCTTTGTTCAATCATAGAATGTGCTTTTCTTCTAAGGCAATCGCTTGCATCCCAATCAAATTTTTTGGGCTAACTCTAGGCTTTACAGGGGAGTGAATGGAGGGAATTCAATTTTTTTTTGTTCTACCTCTTTCCCTCAAATTTTGGAATTCAAGTTCTCCTTATAATTAACGAAATTGTTAGGGCTAATAATCGCATTTATACACCAAAGTCCATGCTTAATAACAAATTATGTTACCATAAAGCATGAAAAAGGAATATGGCAGAATTATGGGGTGGCCTTATGCCATTATGGATAAATAATGGTCCCAGTCTTAATGATTTCTTAAAGTGGCTTGACCATATGTTATAATTTATTAGATATGGGCCGCGGCTTTGATACAAGGTGGTCACAATTAGTCTTGATCAGGGTTTGAAAAATTGCCGAGTCGAGCCGGACTCGCTCGGTTCGGCTCGAAAATCGTCTGATATCGAGCCGGTTCCCCGAATAAACCGGGAATCGCCTGTGTCCAGAGAGAACCTGGCGATTCCCAATAGTGAATCGCGAGTCAGACCGAATCACACGCAAGAACACGGGCTGCACAGTGTTCTTCACGGGATTTCAATTTTTGTTGTCATTTTGTTGTCGATTTTCACCTTTTTCAGCCTTATGAACGAATCTTGCAGGCTTTAATTCAAATTTCTCACCCATTTTAGTCAATAAAACGAACTAAAAAGCACCGTTTTTTATCAAAAAAATTTGGATCGAAGAGTGAGTTTTAGGGTTTCCGCCATTTCACTGATTTCAAGTGAAAAAATGTATCATTTATTGTAAAATTTCAAGGTGATTGATCGTAAGAGTGTTGGTCAGAAGTTTTGGTTCATAATTTGTGATTATTTTAGAGGCATACATATCAATTTTGAGTTTGAAGGCACGGGTGCACGAAGAACAGGTAAGAACTGTATTTTTTTTTTTTTTTTCCGCCATGCGTTTAAATTCAGTCAATATTTTGCAAATCATATATTAAATTTATAGCCTTTTGATTCGTTGTAGTGTTGTTTAATCATCACATGTATTTCAATTTTTGCAAATAAATGTGTTGAAATTTTAAATAGGGTTT